TTGTATTTGTTTGCGCGGTAATGGCCCTTGGAGAGCGGACTTGTTAAATGGTGTCCTTTTTATGCAAAATAGCTCTCCGTGCATACATTTCATTTTTAACAATTGGAAATATAGATGGTTTTATTGTAAGAGTAGATAGCGTAATTAACGATTATTTTTTATGGTTTTGGATACAATAAACAATCTTTTAACAAAAGTTCGCCAAGTAATGACGTTAATTCGTATGATATTTCATTATAGTTTATACGATTACATGGTTTTCAAATGTCCGAGGATATCGAGAATGATATTTTCTTTAACTTTTATTTCCTTCCATATTTAGTTTGTATTTCTTAAATGAAGCAGTGATGATGTATTATTAGTGCAAACGTTGGTATTAAAATGTTTTTCACTGTGAAACTTACCAATAATATTCTGTGCAGGTGAATCTAGTAACACGTCCTCATGACAGACTGGCGTGAAGTGGAGGTATTACCCTCTTGAATTTTGGTAAGTGGGATAACTGATGCCTACATTCTTGAAGTTTACAAAGTTATCCGCAACTGTATAGATATGGAGACTTATAGTTAGTTATGAGCTAGGAGACTATAGTAAGGAGTTATAGATCAATAGGCGCGTAATTGCCAAGCCAACAGTAACATAATAAAACTCAACCGGTTTATTTAAACCTTTCCGATAACATCATCAACGCTATGCAGATGAAACGCCGAAAATCATTGTTTACAACCATTAAGCGCAATAACGCATTAGCCCTGTGAGTACGCAATCCCCCACTCGGGTCCCCGTTCGCATAAATTTCGGCCGCATCATTTATTGCCGCGACCTCGTGCTCTACAATTTAATTAACCGCCTCAATGCGATTTGATAGTTTCCCTCGTTAAGTGTTTATGTGGGAATAAAACTCTCGGTGAAGTGTGGCTTCCCATCCAAAACGACTGCCCTGAAGGTTAAATTTAAATGAAAAGTATGACGCATTTGCGGATTGGGTGAAGAAGGTTAAATTTTAAATAAAGGAAATATATGATGTATTCGTGACATTTTGACATTGACTACTAACCAGTAGCTAAGTTGAGCCGCTTCCTCATTTGCATGCTTTCTCATGAACATCGTGTCATAGAGTAAACGAATATTTGTCTTATGATAAATGGAATATATTTATTATTATTAAATTCATATTAATTAATTAAATTTGATAAATTGTAATTTATGGCGTCACTTTAATGCGATATACTCAAGCAACCTAAGTTAAAATCAAGCACCGATGGAATTGTTAATTTTAAGTGTGTGCTTACTTTCACATGCTCAGCGGTGGAGGAAAACATCGTTAAGAAACTAACTTTTACATTTTCGAAATAATCGTTTAAAAAATATTTCAAAACAAATGAGGTGGAAGTGTATGCTTTTTGTTGACCGCTGCATGCTACTTGTTTCCTTCTACTTACTTATTGGTATTAAACGTATATCTTTCATTATAATAAAACAAAATAGTTAGGTTTCATAAAAGAAAATCATAATCGGATTAAAATATAATAAAGTAACCCCCGCAACTCATCTATCAAGTATCTTGACGTGTATTTGTTGGCAAATTAAGTTAACAGACAATAACATTCCGAGTATACAAAAATGATAGCGCTACACACCACTAACTTGTACCCATAATTATTATGACCATTTGTCTGCGTCCCTCTTTTTAGCCGCGTGCCGCGACTTGTCGCCCGCGCTGCACTTCGACTCGTCTATTTGTATTCATTATAGATACAGCGTGCAGCACATATCATTACTTGAAATTGATCAATGCACGCGATAAACGACTTAAAAACTGCACGCGTAGAGGCATTTTTCTATAACAGCGTTAGATTTAACACTGTTAGGATTGCCGCCTTTTAAAATTTTAATTTGCTTTAGTATAAAGTGATGTTGTAATAAAATTGCGCGACTGTGTCGTGATTGATTCATTTTGTTGACAATGGGTAAGCATTTTTGTTTGAGCTCTTTTATCTATAAATAACTTTTAAATGGGTGATGTTGGTGAATTTCATTAATATTTCGTGACTTTTCAAAGTACGTTTAATTTAATTCCAAACTTATCGACTTTCAAAAGTTGACTGATTAATTATAAAATTTATTTATATTTGTGCATTATAAGCCGTAACTAAAAGAACCAACAAAGTTTAGACTAGAACGTATTTCACTCACAAACCTCAATATTTAGAAATACCCTATATTTGTACTATTAGATTAAGGTTACCTCTTTTTAGAAAATGCTGAGGTATATTCCGCAAGGCTACTCACCACCACTGCGGATTGGCAGACTTCAAATAATTTCAAAATGGTTTTTCTAATAATTTATTACATATGCAAGTATATGAACTAATTCTTCCCTCACCACCAAGCACGTGGTAAATCAGCAGTTATAATATCAGTTAACTAATTCATTGATTCTGGCACTGATTTTAATTTAAGTTACTTACGTATACTGAAGTAATAGCAAACTAACAGCTCCAGGAAACAAATTACTTTATTTCGAACTGAAATGTATAAAATAAGAATAATACTTCCAACCTTACTTCGCATGTTTTTTTTCTTTTATTTTTTTATCTTAGATGGTTGTCTGTTTTAAGTTCCATTTGGCCGTACAACACTAGGGCTTGGGGATGATACCTTGCCAACTTTCTAAAGAGTGGGCACTGACTACCTCATTCACCATACTTTACTTTCACCATCTTTTGTAAACTCGTGCTACATTCCCGAAGAAGTCTCCTAGCTCTTGGTCTTTTCACAGCAGAAGTGGCTGCATGGGCTTTACAAAAAAAATAAAAGTAGGTTAACAGACTATGTATATGTCCCACTGCTGCGCAAAAGCCTCCTCCGTACAAAGGGTATTATGGGCATAGACCACCACGCTACCCCACTGAGGATTGGCGGACTTCACATATCTTCATATAATCTATGTCTAATAACAAGAACAAAATGAAATATTTTGTTTTTTGTTATTTCGCACGTTTATAATGCACGTTTTCTCAGGATGTTTTTCTTCACCGCTGAGAACGTGATACTTATTTACAAATAAATATCTATGAAACGAAGAATTTCTCATCACATTATGAGTATCCTGTATATTTAATCTGATCCTGAGTGTTACTATATAGTATAAAACAAAGTCGTCCCGCTGTCTGTCTGTCCCTATGCATGCTTAGATCTTTAAAACTACGCAATGCATCTCGATGCGGTTTGTTTTACTAGCTAGAGTGATTCAAGAGGAAGGTTTATAGTTATGTGTAATACATTGCACCCGTGCGAAGCCGGGGCGGGTCACTAGTATCTTATAAAAAGAACTAAGACGATTACCATAACGTTGCCCGATTAGAAATATTAGATCCACAAACACTGTTGTTTTACAGAAGTGTGTCAAACAAATATTTCGCTCGTCAGAAAAAAAATGTTGTAACAAGGACTTATGGTGATGGGAGTGTGGCTCCGCTAAGTCTCCGCTAACGATTCGCGCCACGCTCACTACCAACCCCCATCTCGTTACATCGTCATTATAATATTATCCCCCAAAAAGCTCATGGTCAAATAACCTTAATAATGACTGGTTTTGAATTTGGCTTAGCGGTTTTGGCGTTTTCTATTCAATATACGGGTAATTAGGTATCCTATGGGAATAATTATTTCAGATTTAGCATTTTTTTATTGAAAGACTAACGCATTTATACGACAGTAGCATTTTAGGCAGTTCTAATGTATATGTTAAGTGTACCCTTAAACGATATGTTCTTTATTTTGATTTGCATATTATGTACAAGGATACAATTCATGTCAAAATTCCAATAAACACCCACCAGGGTACTACCCTAATAAATTAACAATACTAATTCCATAATTTTGATAAAATCACGTGTCCCCAAATAATTGACGAGTTAAATTCTCTGTCATTTAAATCATTGAAAATACAAGTTTACAATAAAAAAATGAATAGTTTCGTTATGTCAATTTAAAGTATTATAAGGGAAGAACAAGTTTATAATATAATCAAGGAACAAAGCTCAGAACATTGCAGTCTTATATTTTCTAGATTTTTAGGGTTTTTTTTTTACTTTTACGGTGGTAGAGCCACGCAGCAACCTCGGTTGATGCACGAATGGGCAGGCTCGTCCGGGTAAGTACCACGACCTCATCGAAGACCGGCGTAAAGTGGAAGTAGTATAACAAATACTTTCGCGTTTCGTCTGGTAAGTGAGGTAGACGGAGCCTAATTTTCAAAAGGTTGTCAACGCATTTGTAACCCTCGGGTGTAGCAGATGTACATGGTGGCGGTATTCACTTAACATCAGGTGAACCGCCTGCTCGTTTGACAACTTTTCGCATAAAAAAATAGGGTTCCGTACTTAAAGGGTAAAACGCGACCCTTTTACTCAGACTTCGCTGTCTGTCTGTCCGTCAGACAGTTGACACTTGAAATTTTCACACATGATGTATTTTTGCCGCTATAACAGCAAATACTAAGAAACGGAATAAAAAAATATTTAAGTGGGGCTTCAATTAAAGAGACATGAGACATACATAGATTATTAATTGCCATAGGGTAGATTTAATTTGACGACCCGAATGGCGTAGTGGGTAGTGTACCTGCCTCCTGCGCCAGAGGGTGTGGGTTCTATCCCCACTACTGGAAAAATATTGTGTGATTAACATAGTGTTTTTTCAGTGTCTGGGTGTTTATATATGTATGGTACGTATTTATTTACAAAAGAAAAGTATGTTTAAGTAGGTTTATCAGTCATCTAGTACCCATAGTACAAGCGTCGCTTAGTTTGGGACGAGAGAACGTTGTGTAAAAATATGTCCATAAGTATTTATTATTTATTATTTTATTTAATGTGAATGTGACACACGTGTGTACATTTGACACATGTGACACAATTGTGTACAGAATTGACTGTCTTGTAATTATTTCCATGGATCGTGACTTCTCGAACTTTCTATTAATGACGTCACAGTATCGAAGAAGCTAAATCGACGGTGTCCTACGAGTTTGCCGCCGCGGGCCACGGCGCAAATTGTAACGAGTCGGCCGCCACGTGGCGAGGCCATAATGAGCGCCGCTCACAGCCGCCCGCTGCGAACGGTGAGAAAGTCGCGTTGGCGGTGGATAACGCGGCCGTCCGCTGGCTTAACGAAGGTCTAATACCCTAATGAGTGGCGCCCCTGAGCGCGGAATCTGATTATTTTCCTTTTTTGACAACCCTAATGCTACACGGCTTATGCAGTGCTGAACCGCGCTGACACAAAATTCTTTGACAAAATAGATAATGTTTAAACAGCATTTCTAAGGGGGAGGCCTATGTTCAACAGTGGACGTCTTGCGGCTGATGATGATGATGATGATGATGTATGACAAAGACTAATCAAATTGTAGTTGAATAGCTTATTCAGTTCACTTTGATGCGATATGAACCCAGGTTCAATTGTGGAATTTGTCGCATCGGACCCTTATGACTGTTTGAAGAATTAACTGAAACAACGTAGAAATCGTCGAAGTTTGAGACGGACTTGTCGATCTTTAGTCAGCTGTATAAATACAACAACTGTACACTTTGAAATGAACGCAATAAAAGTCGCTGCTCCATTCGGTCGTCCGTCCGTTTGCCAAAAGTACTTATTCGATTACGTTCGAGTTGATTTTCGGAGTCTTCCCGGACACAACCGCCCGGGATTGAGCGCGTAATGGATACCCGGCAGCGGCCCGCAGTCACAATGCCGCGTTCTCCTGTAAGTTCGACGTGTGGTCCAAGTCACAGAAGCAGCGATAAAGTTTGGCTGTGCATTTAAATCCTTAATAAAGTCAACGACATTAAGCGGTTGCTATATATTTCTTAATCCACAACGCAAAGCCGACACTTTTGGAGATTGGTCGATTGGATTACTTTTTGTGATGTACAAACTATCTTACATGTATTTCTTTAGTCAGAATAGTAAACATAATAACGTAGTAAAATCTTGAAAACGTTTACATAAAAAGAGTCTAAGGTAATTTTATATGCACCGAAACTATACCATGCTTTGCAAGTATGACACTTTTTTTTGCATGATATGGATACATTTTTGGTAAAAAAAACGCAAATTCACATCTATATAAGGAACGAAATTTTTATAATGTAATTGTAATAATGATTGTGCCCTATTTTATGAATAGAATAATTGCACTCTAAATTATTATTGTCAAAATGGCATTCATAGATTTATTCACACTAGGTTTGTAGGCTGACTTTACACTTTTACCGTGGTAGGGCCACGCAGCAGCGTCGGCTATTGCTCGAATGAACAGGCTCATCCTGGGAAGTAAACCTTACAGAAAACCGGTGTGAAGTGGAACTTTAATACTTTTGCGTTTCGTCTGATGAGTGAGGTAACCGGGTACATTTAAAAGTTGTCAACGCATCTGCAGCCCTTGGGTGTTGTAGATGTCGCGATGTTGTGTATGAACGGCGGTAAACACTTACATCAGATGAACTACCTATTGCTTGACAACTTTCACTTTAAAAAAAAAAACTTTGTTAAAACGATATTTGAAAAATTCGAAATGAAACAAGCAGAAGAACAATCTCACCTTACGTTCTACTTTTCAATTTAATATAAATTTTTTCAATATAAATCAAGGATATTTTTTCTTTCCAAAATCGAAATCACTTAGACCAACGATCCGGCCTTACTGTGTAAAGATACTTTTAGATCATAAACGTTCTTGCTCGATCTCTGATGTACAATTGAATTGTGTTCGTCGGATTTGAACCGCAACTCCTAATTTATTGGTCCGCCCGCCGCCCTTCCGATGACGCCCACTCGCGGTTTCATTGGATTTATTGCTTTCTGACGAGAGCCCATTTCTTTAATGACATCAACGGGACTATATATTCTATTTACGTAATTCCATTATTGAACTTTTATTCGGTTTAACTTATCTATGGGACTGTAGCCTTCGAAGCGGTTTTTAATGTATTAATGTCTTTTTTCTATGAGTATAGATATGTTTCGAGATTGTGTGATTGTTTGATCCTACCCACAAGTAGACTCCGTAAAATAAGTAAATCTTTTATGGGACAATGTATACGTTATTACAACAAAATTCCAGAAAACGTTCAAAATGCATCAATAGCTAAATTTAAAAAAATAGTAAAAGAACGTTTGTGTGTTAAAGGCTACTATAATATTAATGATTATTTAAATGATAACACACTCTGGTAATGAACTGATCGCTCCAGGCTCTTTCAATCGGAGTTCTTATATTGTATTTTAACGAATTTATGTCAAACTGCTTATTTTAAAAAAAAAAGCCCGCTGAGTTTCTTTCGCCGGTTCTTCTCAGTACAGGCTTTCTTTTCCGAACCGGTGGTAGTGTTTTGACTATCAATAAGTGAGTGTAATGCTCCTATGTTGAATAAATACATTTGATTTTGATTTGATTTTGATTTTGTTTTGGTTCAATGGCACATACATCGGTCGCTATGCTCTCCCATGCGTCAGAAATAATTTGAACCTTCCCGATATCTTTTGAATAAATCTACGCGTATAATTAAATTGATAGTTCCTCACATGATAGATCATTTACAAGGATAGGTACACAATAATAATCTTTAATTCTTTCGCTCGTTGAATCATCTAGTGAACTTTTTGTACCATTTGAACACTAAAACTTTAAATAGTAACGCTTCGTATTTTATTCTGTTTTGTGTTTTGTACAACAATACACCAAAACTTATAGCTAGTAAGCTTTCTTTTTTTTGATAGTTCGTGGTGTAATCGTTAAATAAAATGCTTTAGTTTCAAGAATAGAGAATTCCATTTCTACCTAAGACCAATTTCCATATGGTTTGCAACTAGTATTTTTTTTAATAATATTATACTTAAATGTTCTAGATCATTCTCTTCGAGTAAGTTTATACATAACGGATTTCGAATTCGTCGATGATGAGTTGGCACGGTTGAGAACACGTTTTATTTTCTTTTCTCAACACAGTTACGAATAACTTGGAATCGGCGAGCGCGGCAGTTGTTAATAGTTGTCGCCGTGAGCAAGGACAGTTGGACGTGCAAGTTTTAACGGGCGCCGTGTTCGCTGCACTCTTCGAGTTGCGACGTGCCCTCATCGAGGACACTCCGGATTCCTCCATTGTTGTGATTCAATCCCGCTTGAGCATTCTTATCGCGGGACTGTACGTAGGCGTCCCGCGATTCTCAGTGGGAGAGGCGATTACGTTTGAGTTTGCGATGTCCCAACAAGATTTAAGTTCGAGTGGATAGACTGAGTTTGAAATAAAACGTTGCAGCCTTTATCAGTGTTTTATGACGTTTTGCTACCAGAATGTTGGAATATTTAATATTGCTCCATCTGCTAAGAACATAGTCCTATGGTCCTATCATAGGACCTTCTACAACTTTTACAGGACAATGCAACAGAGTAACATTGTATGGTAGTCTACTGAAAGATCGTTAAAATCTGTGATTGATTTATCAAATATGAAACAACTGTTCACTAGTACTTGTTTTAGGTTAATTTAAACTGTTAATATTTTCTAGCATCCTGTAGGCTTTTGGTTTTCATAAGTCCTTTTTAGATCTCAACGATGACGAAGAATGAATAAGTTATTGCATAGACTAAAATCTTGCATTACAGATATTTGCTCTACAGTTAACGAGCAACTCATACGTAAGAGTTCTTTAAATTTCACATGTTATAAGTGCTGCCAGTTGTAAGATAGACACAATAAGCAAAAAATCTAGCTAGTAACCATCAAATCAATGTTAAGTTAATACGTCACGCGAAGACCAACTTGCAAGTATGCAACTAGGATTGTCATGACGCATTACGGAATCGCTTATGCAAAGCAGACGGTAAATGGCGCGACGGTAACTTGATAATCGAACCCTTGGTAATGCTCTACTACCCCCGGACTCCCCCCCCCCCCACACTCCAGTCACCCACCACCCCCGAGGACAGTCCGCACCAATTTATTAGATAAATGATGGTGTCGAAACGACGCGATGTCCCGCACATTATGGTGTATTTTCTTATTGTTTACTAGCTATCTGTTTTACTGTATTTTATTTTTATTGCTTCTTTAAATTTGTGTAATTTTTACGCGAATTACTTTTAACGATATAATTTTAAGGTGTCATCGCATTCGTAACCCATGACTATAATTAGTGGAAACCATCAGACGCGAAATTAAAACAATATGTGTATGACTTAGTTTTGATAACTCTTTCTTTAATATGAAATCGTGATCATTTGGTAACGCTTTCGTTATTAGTATTGAATAAAGACATATATATATATATATAATACAAATAGCTCAGCATTTTATAGAATCTGTTGATCCACAAGGGAACCGTCGTTTAACATATAGATATGTCTAATATAGAGAGGATGTAGAGGCTGGCATTACAAAAATATGTACATAGTTTTCAAAAACTAAAATATTCTAGTATCTACACTAGGCTTTATTACAAAGGACCGCCCACAACGTGCACCATATACTCAAAATGGATTCGCAATCAAATGCCTAATATATATACAACACACAATATATAAACTAAACCATTTTGCCTACTCGCCAATGAACGACGAATGGAAAACGTTGGCACTAAAGTTCACGGAAGTTAGGTAAATTAATCAGCAGACTATCTTCTATACAGATGTACTAATTTTATAAATAGGCACGTCTTTACGCTTGCGAACTGTCAAATTAATAAAAAAGTATTAAAGCGAGCGCATCATTAATTCCTTTCACGAGCTGTTGGATGTAAAGAGCGGACAAGCAAGGGACGGCATCGAATCGAGGACCCCCCGACAAATGGGACTGTGACGAATCAGCAGCGCCAAACGGGATGAGAGGTCAACAATAGTGATAAAATATTGTATAATACAAATATTTCAATTCCTATTGCTCTGATGTGTTCTTTTATGTGAAATTCTTATATGAAATGTTGCCACACTGATAAAAAGTTCACCTGATTTTAAATGATCATACGCCGCCCATGGACACCTAGAACACCTGACCCCATGCAAAAGTGGCCCCGGTTACCTCACTCAGATGAAACAAGAAAGTATAATACTTCGACTTCACGCCAGTCTTCTGTGAGGCCGTAGTATTTGCTCGGAAGAGCCTGCCCATTCGTGCAACAGCGGAGGCAGCTGCGTGAAAGCCCCTACCACAGTGAAAGTTTAGGTGTTGGTGCCTCAGTGGTTAAATCACCTTAGTCGCTTTATAAACTGATTCTGACCAATTTCATTCTTAATAGTAGTTTTTAGTTTCTCTTGACTCAACTATTAATAATGAAATATTAAACTTAACGTCAGACAAATGATTTCAATATGATAAAGAAAACCAAAGATCTTTTCTCAGCTGCGGGCCGTAAAAAAACTAGCTTTGTTTTACATTTATATTTTTTTTTGGATTGCATTTAAAGTATCGCTTTACTACAGCCATTCTTTAATCGCTCGCTCGTATACTCGTATACGGTTAAATGCCATTTAAGATAACCGCTCCGACATTACTCGGCGCAGATACGAACCGTTAATCGAACGCGACCATAAACGGCGAAGAAATGGCTCGACGTCTCTCAGGGAGCGCCGACTAGCGTTAGCTCAGCGAAAGCAGAAAGTCTGCCCGGGGTAAATAATTCAGCGGGCATCCGTAATCCTCCGGGATAGCGCCAAAACCGGATAATGCCGGTTAAATAGAGCGCGCGGACGCCGCAACCGGTAAATAAAGTCCGGTAAATAAAGTCCGGTGTCAGCGTATCGGTAATCGAGTTATCTTGTTTTATAGCTGCGGTGGGGAGCGATTTGTCTCTCGCCGGTTATGGCGTCTAATATCTACGTATCGCAAACCGGATTACGCTGCAGGCGGGATTGCTTTTATTTTAAATGTTGCCGTGCCGTCTTCGCGGGCAGTTATTAATGGTCGGCGAACTTGGTCGTTGCTGTGTGCGTGAGTCACGCGCATATACGGTAAGACTAGAATGCTGAATGGGAAATGCTTTCGTTGTTTCGTTTTAGTTACAGCTTTCTACTGAGTTTCCATTGCAAACGATGCAATCCATGTTAACACTGAAACTAGTAGAATGTAATAAATTAAAATAAAAATACGAAAAAACTGTTCTAAATTTTCCATTTCAATGGTAGTATATTCAGTTTAAAATCATTCAAAACTACCTTTTAATAAAATCTAAAGATAATCTACGCAGCAAATTGCTAGGTTCAACTTCTCTAAGTTACCAGCAAAAAAGTTTTGAAAAACTCATTAGTTGCGGACTGTTATACTGCCCACATTATGCCCTTGGAGTAAGATATGTTAAGTAAACAATATTAGATTATTAACATGTCAAAGCAATAAATTAATATTTAAATACGATTTAATTAATTTACTAATAGAAAAACCATCAGCTTGTTTAATCATTATTCGTGATGTGATGGCATCATATAACCAATAGACCAATTTCCATATATTATTTCTCTATGGGGTTTTTTGTCGGTACGCCATAAATTCGATAATTCGTCATTAAATTTAATGATTCAAACACCATTTTAAAGCTAATATTTGCTACTATTGGCGATTCTCTACATGTAAAGAAATCTTACGTTTAACCGTATATTAATACGGCCTATGGTTCAAAAGATCAAAATCACTGCCACCAGCGCCACCTATCCGGAACTAACGTAACTACGTTCGTGTCACGTATGTGTACATACGTGACACGAGCGTAGTTACGTTACTAGCGTAGTTACGTTACGTGTGTATGTACATATACGTGTGTATGTTCACCTAAAACACAATGTATATTGTCTTTTATATGTTTTATTGATAATTTACTTCAAATAAATTGCGAAGTATATTGAAAAAATTTAATATATGATAGGTACCTTTCATTGAAATACTTATTTACACTTAATCGTTAACAGTCGAAACGCTCGCACAGGTCAACTATTATTTTTGAACTTTTAGATACGCTTTAATATCGCCCCTTACAGGGGATCCAAGTATCATCCGCTCGAGTCCATAACCGAATTTGCCGAGTTCCGCCAGCGGAGTGTTGGGCACACACCTTAAAAATTGAAAAGGTGAGGCCCTCCAATTTGCGGCTACGCGTCCTGGAGCCCCCAAATTGGAGGGATCTCGGGACGGAGGAGGCTGGAGTGCCCGCGTTGGGCCACGAAACTATTCTCAACGAGGCGGGCATTTCAAGACGCATTACACTATTTTCCCATCCCGACACTCCACGCCTCTTTTCAACACTGGGCGCGCCTTTTCTAAAGTGTTTTCTTAGTGCAAACAGTATTGAAGATTGTCTGTTTATCAACTTAATACAAACCTACAAATAAAACGTTGCTCTGTAACGATGGTAATGTATTCTAGAATATTGTGTTCTAGATTTGTGTTCTTTCGCTTTCCTCTGCTGAACGAAGATAAGTACTTAAAAACAGCTCGGTTCAACTTGTAAATATTTCCACACTATACGATTGCAAATTTTAAAATTTTTTAACAAAGCGTTAAAAGCTTTCCTTTAGCCTCATCCTTCGCAATTCTAAGCAATAAAAAGAATAAACAAAAAGTCAAAACCAAAGTGTACGAAAAAAATGAATGACACCGACGCAAGCAAGAGTTATTAGTTTTGCAATTTAATTGACTCTCCGCTTCAGAACACCGAAACGGAGACCAGGTAAGAAAGTGAAGTGGCTTCCGCTAACAAATTCTCAATAATCGGTAACATTGGCACTCGGCAGAGCCTGAGCAAACACTCGGTTTCGAATCCCGGGCCCCGAGGACTCTCCGTCGATTATACGAGTACGCACAAAAAATCGTTTGGCTTAGATATTTATTTAATATTTTCGTAATAAGTACTTACGTGCTTATTTACATTTACCGGAACAGATAAATTTATTTATATATAGTGTATGTTGCACTGAAAGTTAAAAACTTAAGACTTGAAATTTGCTGCGTATAAAAAAATTACCCCCAAATAGGTTAATAATGGTTCACAATTATTATTTTAAACACGTAAATTACTGGCATGGTCATCGAACCAACTTTCTTTATCTTAAATTAAATTCTAAACAAGCCCAACAAATACGAGTCCTAAGTCTTTATTTTCCAAAATAATACAATCGAATAATTTGTCAATTCATTATCTGTGCAAGAAATGCGCGGGAATTGCGAACATAACCCCAAAATGATCACAAGAACGGCCCCACCGCGGCCCGGTACGCTGCGGACCCGAGCGAGATCGACACAAAG